CCCCCCCCCAAAAAAAAAAAAAAGCAGCGTGGTATGGAAGATCCATTGAGAAAGTTTTATTTTCAATGTTAAATGAAAACCAACAATTTCATTTACAAGTCATGTTTTGACAAACTTATACCATCTTCAGTTATAGAAGCTTGTTACAATTTGAGTATTTCAAGTTGAAGGAGTAATGAAATTACAATTTAGATTTGTTAATCACAACGATTTCAGTGAAAGCTAGATGTGACAGAAGAACATTGAGGAGAGAGAGAGAGAAAAAAAAACAGCATGAATAACATCTAATCTACATGGAAAGTGACAGGTTTACATGTTTCTCCTGTTGATTTAGAATAGGTTTCTCCCACTTTAAATACATCGCCTCCTAAATCTAGATGCGGTGGTATCAAGGATACTGGGTAACGAGCTTCTAGAACTGAAGATGACATAAGATTGCCGAAACTTGTCTTGTAAATTGAAAACTCACTGAAAAATCATCTCAAAGAGAAAGTAAAATCAACTATTACAGCTGATAACTAATTTCTTAAGTCGTGGCACAAGGTCATTAATAAAATGAACTTAGGAATTGCTCTTACTGAAAACAAAAAAGCAAAAAGGACAACTTATAACGAACGGCCTGCAAACTACTCAGAAGCTGAAACTTATGTCATTTCTTATGAGTACCGAACACCTATTTTATTCGATGAAAATAATTACATACAGCAGTTGATTCAGACGTCGGATATAATGGTGCCGAATTTAAATTCGTTTGTTGTAAATATTCCCTGTCTCTAGAAAAAAAAAATTATCCAATTTGGATCAGTTTCTATAATTAATGCACATTCGGCAAATGTGAAATGTGACTTCTAAATCAAGTGTTGAACCTAAGTCGAATTCTCGACTGTTTCAGTCGCAGATTCGGCAAAGTCGTATTTAATTTGAAACTGTCGAATTTAGTTGATTTAGACGTCGCATCTCAAAGCAGTTACCTCTCGAATTAAATTTATAGCCACGTGTGGAATTCGACGTTTGAACTGGGTAATGATAACAGTGTCCAGTATTACTAAAAATACCGGTAGGTACGCTACGATACGTACGGCATTTTGTTATATTCCTGTAAACTTTGCTCCTAATTTACGACATTATGTTACTAGCTATATGCACCACAGAGGTAAAAATAGAGTAAAAAATAAAAATAAAAAATTATAAGTTTACAAAAATTGCTTCAATTAAGGGTATCAAACCCGAACCCTCCGAATCAGTTAGAATTAAATTCCTCTATCCCGGCACTGGACCAACTTAGGTAAGCACTGACACTCCTTCTCTATGGTGATTGACAGATTTCAAAGATGACTTTTTCGGTTTCCGTGTAGAATTTAAGAATTTGTTCACGCTTAGCGTGCGTATTTCGAGTCATGGATGCACGCGGGAAGTTTGGCGAGCACTGAAGATGTGTGAGAATTGCTCGAGACGCAGCCGAAGGCAACTCTAGCTTCTTGAGTGCTCTCGAATTAGTGAACAACATTCACGAACAATGGCTGGTCATTACGGCCTCTTTAGAAGACCGGGCAGCAGTAGTTTTTGTGAGTAATAAATTTATGTCTTCTTGTGTGATTTGTCTTTTTATTGCAAGATAAATTTTCCTGCTTTGAC